ATTAAATAGTAAAGCATCGTAAAAGGTGAAAACGGATCTAATACTACTTTACACAATCTATGTGTGGAGATCAGGTGCTTTTTCATTTGTTCTGTGATTGAGGCAAAAAGTCTAGGTGAAGCCTTAAAGGGCTTAATCCAGCTGAGGTAAAACACAAGAACTCTTCTTACATCTAATGTCTGTAGGCTCGCTTCTTCTCTTAAAGAGTGAACCTTGGGGTAAATCACTGGTAGATACATGTCTTGATTAATGTGAAACGCTGAAGAAACCTTACGCAGAATATGAGGGTGGGGACGTAATATCACCTGGTCGCGATAGAACTCCATGGATAGTGGGTCAGCCATAAATGCTCCTAGCTCCTCTTCCCTTGTGGCTTAGGTGATGGCTATGACGAAAAGCTGTTGAGGAACAGATGAAGGAGGGAACAACTCCCCATAGGTTCAAATGGAGGTTTCCTCAGCACATTAAGCATTAGGTTGAGGTCCCATGGTACAGCACCATCCTTGACAGGGGGAAAACAGTCAAACAGGCCCTTAATAAACATCTAGGTGGTTGGATGAACAAGGACTAAAAATCCCTCAATGGGGGTGCATATGTGAAAGGCTGTAATGGCAGCCAAGACAACTTTAACGGAGCTCAACAACAAAAATGTAGTTGTTAAATTCAGTAGATAATCAAGACTGTGCATAAGTTGAGAATCAAAAAGAGGCACCATACTTGAAAAAGTTTCTACTTCTGCAGGTAAATTTTTCTCACAGTGGGTTTCCTACTATTGAGCAGTAGTGATAGTACCTCTGGGGAGCAGTCAGGTTCTGTGTCAGAGAGCCATCTAGTAGACAGGGCACAAGGTGAAGCAATGAGTGGCTGGGGAGGTTATGGTTCCCAATTCTTGAGTGAGGAGATCCACTGTCAGAGGAGGGGAGAGAGATGGTTGAGAGACATGCAAGCCAGTTCTAGGAAACATACCTGCCTCAGCCACGATAGTGTTATGAGGATGGCTATTAATTTCTCCTGTTTCAACTTGTTGAGGAACTTGAACAGTAATGGCATTGGGGGATGAGCGTGTGCCGGTATGCAAGGCCAAGAGATAGTGAGGGCATCTCGCATTGAGTTGCAACTGTGCCCCTGCCACCATCACCCACACCCCCAAACAGAACTATCTACACTTCACATTGGATGAAGTCATGAAGAGATCTATCTCTGGATAATCCCAGATAAGACACATCCTTTGGAATACTGCATCTTTCAACTTCCACTCATGATTGAGGTGGAAATGTGTGCTAAGG